GTATTTTAGATTATCACTTTATTTTATAGTATGTATTGCTTTGTCTGTTCTGGATGAGTTAGGTAGGATTGGGATTTAATTTCAACTCATAATTGTACTTTTCTAAGAAAAGCAGCATGGATGTGGACTTAAGTAAAATCCAACTGGGCTTCATTCCAGCTTTTGGTACTAATTTGTTTTGTGATCAGAAAAAGACACCATTGTGTGTTTATGTGAGATTCTGTTTCTGTGAGCAGCTGTGTTACCATTTTTGCTGGGTAGGAATTAATGTGTTGAAGTTATTTTTTTTAAAAGACAGGATTTTTACTATTTTTTTTTTAAATCAGGATGATGCATCAGCATTGAAGTTTGAAGTAAGAGCAACAGCCTCACCAGAAAAAAATGCAAGAGTTATTGAACTCCACAAGGACAAGCAAACTGCATATGTAAGAAATCCCTTAATGAAATGGTAATAAACTTGTTAAAGTAGAAACACCGACAGCAATTAAAATCGTGGAATTCTATACATAGGCAATGAATATAGTGTTAATTACTAAAATGTAACTAATTTTTCTACTTTGTTTTAGTATCTTTTAAGGAAAAAAATAATCATTTAGCATGAAACTTATTTTCTGCTTTCCAGGTCTATTTGGAAGGAGTGCACCACCAAAAGCCAAAATACCATGTTACCGTGCTAATTATTGGAATAGGCTTAATCGTTGGTGTTACCTTGTTTTTGCTTCTTTCATTTATATTATGGAAGGTAGGTTTTCAGTATTTCTCAGTTGATCTCAAGTCAGGAATTCCCACTGTTGGTGGAACTTTGGATCTGTTAATGCGGGTTAAAGGTTAAATAATATTTTGTTATGATCTGTCCTTTCTAAAGAAAGATAATTCCTCCTGTAGCTTGTGTTTTTTCAAAATACTTCTCCATTTTATCTTCTGTGTATTCTGCATCTTCTGTTATTCAACACCACAAACCTCCTCCCGTGTTTTATATGGCATCTCATGATTGCAGATGATTTATATAATTTAATGATGTCAAGTGGATCATTTTTGTGGGACAGTGCTCCACATTTAATGTCACTTGACACATGATGACTAATAGTCTACAATATAGTTTTATGCCAGAATAAAATGTTGACAATTTTAAACTGCAACATAAATGCTAAAAATATCCTGTCCATAAGTAAAGGAAAACTACAAAGGATGGAGCTTCTCTGACAAGTGATTAAGAGACTGTTAACTTCTCACCTACATGCAGACTTTCTCCATCCATCATTTTTCCCAGGGAAGCCTAGACATGAAATGAATTCAACAGGAACGTTTCATTACCATTTCTTATTTTAAAATATACTGTATTCTGTGGGCTGTTAAGTTCACAAGCCCACGTGTCCTTACTCCTTGCAGGAGAGTATTAGCCTCTCAAAAAGGAAAAGGAAAAGCAAACCTGCTTTTTTGATTGATTGAGTCACACTTGATTACTTGGTATGACAAAGCAACTGCAAATATCATTGTTCATAAACACCATATATACACATTTTACTTTAGTTCATCTTTTATAGTTTAGATTTGGTAACAAAGATTTGCTGACAACAGATTCCAAAATTATGTATTTCAGATTGGCTTTTTCAAAAGGCAATACAAACCAGTCCCTCAAGACAAGAACAGAAGAGACAGCTGGAGTTTTACAACCGGGAACAAAGATGACTAAGATGGCAAATAATCGTTTGATTCTAAAATGAAAAATTTAAGATTCAGCTTAATTCACAGGAGAAACATCAGTGACAAGAAAACTGGTCTTGAGCTCACTCGTTCTTACGAAGTACACTTTATTTCCTTGAATTGTATGGAGGACTACACCTTACAGTACTGTTGTTTTGCTCATATGAAAGTGGTAAAACAGTTTGTTTTCAAGTCTTACAGTAATATTTGAAATGCCATATATCTCTCTGGTTTCAAACAGAAAGAACACTAAAGATACAGAGAAGAATAATTACTTACCAGAAAGAAGAATTTCTAGAAAGTAAGAACATTTTGCCAATCCTGGAAAAATAAGATCTCAAATACATTAGCATGAGTTATTCTACTCATTTTGAAGTTTCAATAATCTTTTGATTAGACATTCAAGAAGAAATCCTCCCTCATCTTGCTTTGGAAGTTTTACAAGCATAAATTAACTTAAACCACTATAGAAGGACTGTAACTAGAGTGCACAGATGTAGAAACAGCTCTTGGAAGCTCTCTTGGGCTTCTGAAGGTAACCTCATAAGCTTTGGCTTCACAGGCACAGCCCCAGCAGGGCAGAGACTTAGACACCCGGGCAAGCCAGAACCAGGAAGGTCAAAGGTGGATAGATTCAGAGCAGGGAATTCTGTGGGGCAGCCTGGAGATGCAGCACAGAATCCTCTCTCAGCTGTAGAAGAGAGTGATGTATTGGAGATCATAATTTGTAGCCCCCTTTAACAGGGTACTTGCAAGCATGACAGAATTAGGTGTTTCATCCTTTCCTCAGATACTGCTGCCAAGTTTTGGACTTCTACCAATGAAATATTTCTATGTGGGTTTTTTTCTAAAGCAGGTATTTATTTTTATTTATTTGAAGATTTTTCTATAGTACTTAGCATAGTAGTATTTAGTACTGGCATTCTTCCAGGACCTGGGAAAAAAAAAGACTTCACATGATGACAAAACATCCATGAAAGACTCCAAATGCCAATCTTGCTGGGCCAAATTTATCTTTAGATGTGTCATCCTTTACCTAAAAGTCGTCACAAAGAAGTCATTCGGAGAGGTAGCTTGGGTTCTTGTGAAGTTGTCAGATCAATACCAAACACACATCCTCAGAAGCCACGCAGCAGAAAGGCAAATGACTGAATAGAAACATGGTTCAAACCACTGCTCTGCTACTACAGGAAGTTTCTTCAGCTAGATAAGTTTGCACTGCCACCTAGCTTTGGTGAATTAGTACAATCCAGGGAAAAAAAATGTTACTTTGCTCCCCAGTACAACTGGAGAATGTACAACTTCTTCACTGACTGAATTTATTGCAACAGCAGTATGCAATAAGGCCTTTCTTGCTGTGCCTTTGATGTCTTTCTGAACTGCAAGGAGAAATAAATGTAATGTGTACACATACTTTGAAGCTGCACTGTCAAACGGGAATTAGCCTGAGACTCAAAAGCAATACAGCGTGCCTTCAACAAGCACTTTTGCTAATGGAGTGCTTGGTGCCATAAAAGCCACTTTGTCCACAGATTCTAAAGGTATTGGGGACCATTTTGTAATTTCCTTTCACTTCATTTGATGCCAAAGATGTGGATCACTCTAAAGTAAATATTCTCTCTAACATCTTCTGCAGTGTCAGGACAAATGAATGTGCTTTTTTTTTTTTAAAATAATCAAAATAAAATATATGAAGAATGAAATATTTTCTTGCAAGTCTATGAAAATACACACAAAATGCTTGTCTTCCACCTGGCTTTAGTGAATTTTTGCACTTTAACCAAAATAACTTTGAACAGAAATTAGTTTGATATTACAGCATATTGTGAAAAATATACCTCAAATACTGGAAGAAGCATTAACATTGTTTTTAGTACAAACAATGCAAAGAAGTGAAACTAAAGCATTTTATTTATCTTTGAAATAGTTTACATGAGTCAGTACATGTGGTAATGTTGCCTTGGAAATTGTGTGCTTCTTATTCAGATTTTGTTATTGACATGTAGATGTTGGCTGAAGCAGAATTCAATTAGCTTTTATAAACCAGGCTGACAACAAATGAATGTACAATGTCCTGATGCTGACAAAGGTTATAAAGTATCGTTCAATTTCATTTTATTTAAAAGAACTCCAAGCACATGAATGCTGTTTCTTCTGCAAGTTCAATTACTTTGTTAATTTTCATTTATGTAATAAAACCAGTTAAATCTACTAACTGTGGCTGGAATCTTCTCAGACAACTTTAGGAAGTTTAGTTTTAATTGTCTTAACATGTTAAAACTATTCGATGTGATACAGTATCAATTATAGTAGTTTAACTGCAGACTACTCACTGCGACTCTGATGACAATCTTAAAGGCCTGGATTTCACATTAGACTCAACAGCTTGCTGAAGGAAGAACTTAAAGCAACTCATTCCAGCCACGAGACAACGCAGCTTTCATACCACTGTTGGCCATCTTTGAACAACTCATAGACAAGTAACTAGGAAAACATGCACTATCCCCATGGTCCTGCAGACAGACAAACTTGCCGGTCTGCTACGTTTCATCATCTCAGAAAAATCCAGTTCCCAGAATGAGTATAGTCTTAATTTGCTGTCATCTCAGATTAATTATATTAAATATTTAATAAGTTACAAAAAAAAATCATAAAAATTATGACCTATAAGGAAGTTATGAAAATAAGTCAACTGTAAGTTATTTATCATAACTTATTCTCACAACAACAAAAACAATGCTGAATAACATTTCAGTTCTAGGTTAGATAAAATATTTTTTAAATATATTTTGTACAAATAGTCTTTAAAACACATTTCAACAAAGACAAGCCTTATAAGACATCAGCATATTCTTTTGTATTACAGTTTGACTAGAAATGGTTTGAAAGGAAATACGTTAAGGCAACATTAAAAATGATAACTAGAAATGGAAGTACTTGATTAAAAACAATAAATCAGTATTTTGCCACCATTTGTCAGCATGAGGTGGTACCATACCTCCACTCAGCAGCTCTGTTTGAACTGAGTCACCTGACAACATGGACAGCAACAGCAGACTTACAATACGAGATACTTTTATCTATTGCAAAAGCTAGAATAATTTTAAGGAAAAAAAAAATTTCTTCTATTCTGATAGACACTTCTCAACCCCCAAATTTATAAGAGACCAATACCATCAGTTTTCATTTTTTCTTGTTAAGTCTAATAGTTTCTTTACAGTTAAATACAACCTGATAAAAATATATAACGTGATAAAAATTTAAAACCAGAAAGAATACAAACATCCCAGTTAAGCTTCTGCTACAACAGCTGAATTCAGTGAGTGAAAGGCTGGGACCTTGGAAAGCTGGGCATTGAAGTGAGAAAAGGATTCTTTAATACAGAACTTGCAGCGTGTCCCTTCTATATGCAGTTGCATGTTGCTTGGGAACTCTCCAGGTCATCAGTGTTCACTCCGTAGAGATCGATCAGTTGAGGATGGACCCTGTGAAGCAAGTCAAACTATCAATTTCATTAACTCTTGCAATGGGTGTGCCAGTTTGGGGGGGAGAGAACAAATATGTATGAATTGTTCTATGAAATAACATCAGATGAATTACGTTTTGACAATTCCTCTAAGGTCATCTTTAGAAGTACGTATTATATACCCTTTTGGGCCCCTCTCTACAAGAAGGACATTGAGGTGCTGGAGAGGGTGCAGAGGCGGGCTACCAAGGTAGTATAGGATTTGGAGCATGTCTTGTATGAGGAACAGCTGAGGGATCTGGGGCTGTTTAACCTGGAGAAGAGAAGGCTGAGGGGAGACCTTATCGCTCTCTACAGCTACCTGAAAGGAGGTTGTAGCAAGGCAGGGGTCAGTCTCTTCTCCCTAGTGACAAGCGATAGAACAAGGGGAAATGGCCTTAAGCTGCACCAGGGGAGATTCAGGCTGGATATTGGGAAGAATTTCTTTACTGAAAGTGTTGTCAGGCATTGGAACAGCCTGCCCAGGGGGGGTGGTGTTATACTTAAGGACATGGTTTAGTGGTGTTCGTAGAGCTAGGACAAAGGTTGGACTCAATGATTTTGAAGGTCTCTTCCAGCCAAAACCGTTCTATGATTCTATGATCTGCCTTTTGTTTTACATTCCAGACTGTTACTCTGAGCTCTATGCCTTCAACTAATCCTGTGTGCACTGCAGAAGAATGAGCCACTGCCCATTTAATTCCACTAATCCTCCTATTTCCCTATGTATTCATAGTCTCTTAGATTCTAGATATGGAGACTGTTCTCAAGCAGCACAAAGTTCCCCACAATTGAACAACTATGTGTTTTCATTAACCTTACACACATACACTGCCTTCCAAGCAGGAATCCTTATCCCAAAAGAGCTCCTCCCAAGAGGTACACACCTTTATATACACTGGATCTCCTCTAAGGAACTGAAGGGTAAAGTAGCAGGCAGAAAGAAGGGCAGAAGTGGAGCTGGAAGCTGATGAAGCACCAGAAAGGCAAGGCCATGTCGGTCATAACAAACCTTTCCAAATATGGGCACAAGGCAACAGGGCAGAGGCCCAAACAGTGGCAAAAAGGCCAGACTGCGCAGTGCCCAACAGGACTATTCTTACGGCATTTATAACACCCAGTTTTGGTGTCATCTGTATTATATGCGGTTGTAATACATTTAAGATTGCAGTACTAATCTGTCACAGGTACGCAGCCCATAAACATAACAACCTTACCGAACATGAACTTCTGATGCTTCTTTCATTAAGTCTCCATCTATATTCCAAGGGTAATTTCCTTCTGCAGAAGCAGCATTCAAATATGTATTTTCTTTGGCACCAAGCCCACTTTTAAGCCTTGGTTGTACTTTTACTTCTTGCACAGTGTAGGTCTCAACAAAGGGAAAATTGAACTAAACCAAACACAGATACATATTAAATGAAGATGAAAGATATAGGTGGTAGCTTAGCAACAAGCTGGATTACTTGAAATCAAAAAGCTTGCCTTTTTTTGTCTTAAGTAAATGGGAACACTTAACTCAAGCTTTGACCACACGAGGCATTATATATTCTATCTAGCATTTAAGATTAACATGCTATTTTTATTTGAAATAGTGCCTTAGAAAAAATGGTAGTGTTCCGTTTGCATTCCCATATCAGAGTTGCTCAGTCTACAGGTGAGGTGGTATATTTTGCACATGCCAAAATTACACATGCTTTCGGAATATATGAAAGTCCAAGCAGATTTTTTCTTGTGCTCTGTTCATCATTACCAGTAATCCTGTCCTAAACAATGCTGGTTAGACTCCTAGTAACTGGTCATCTTAAGTTTAGAGAAGGGACTACATCTCCCTGTCTAATTTCTAACTACAAAGGCAGAGAGAAAAGCAAAGCCTTCCTCCAAAGGCATAACTGGAAAGCATGAACTATGTCCTAAATGCAGCTGTTAGTGCTGTCATGTAGAATTGTCATCCACCTCTCCCCCAAACTCTCTGACTGTTGACAAATTCAAACCTAAACCTTCTTGAAAAGTGACTTCGCATAACCCTGAAACATTTGAATGAGTATCACTGTGCTTCAGCTATGCATTGGGTCTTTAGGACACCAACAAGGCACTGTGCTTGGATGCTTCATCTTTCTTTTCAAAGACAGGATAATGGCGACAATTTTGAGATGCAGTTCTACAAACATTCATAACTAGATGGAATGTAGACCTGCTAAAAATCAATGGTCATAATCCACTGCTACCAGCATAGCACACAGCGATCTGCTGAAATGATAGACTGTACCTATTTCTGACAGAGTTGCATGATGCCACTCCAGTCTGCGTTCTTGATCTCGGTACTACACTAAATTTAAACACAGCATGCGCTTCCTTTATTGTGGTGAAAGGGCTTTACACCCATAAAACTATGGTACAACACAAATACAATTTAAACCACAACAGATGGGCTGAAATAGGCTAATCGGTATTAGTCTAGTGATTTAAAAAAAAAAAAAAAATCAGATAAAAAGGGGGCTAATGTATTCTGACAGGAAGCTAAGTCTCCTTATGAGGATGTTAACATTAACTCTTGCAGCATGTCTACCTTCACAATTAACTGTTCTTTTTATAATCATCAGAAAGAAATTAACAGTACCTGATTTTTTACACTGGCGTATCTTTTCAGATGTTTTATAAACTCTGTTCGAGAAGTATTTTGTACAACAATAAGAGCCATGCTTCCATTATTCAACCTGAAAAGCAGACCAATTAAGTTCCCAAAAGAAAATTCATTAATTTGGAAGTTTAACAGGCTCTTCAATAGTCCAGATTAACAAAAAAGCAAGCTAGCAAGAATAAAATAATAGAATAAGTCTCAGTGCTTTTTAAAATCTTTTCACCACCACCACCACCCATAGATCAATATGAATTATGCAATTGAGGTTATTTAGCATCAATATATTTGTGACATACACTGTAATAATAAAATTGTACTCTCTATCAATATCCATAATTTATTGACCATAATATATACATTTTTTAAAAAAATGTTTTTCTACTTAACAAAGAGTTTTTAAACATTGGGGAACACAAATTTACCCTTTCACTTTTCTCTCCAGCATTAACATTCATGCAGCCCTAACAAAGATCCTGATCTTCAACTCTGCTGCTCTTCAAATTCTCTTAGCAGTTCTCAATACAGTTCTACTCATATATTTCACAAAGCACTTAAAAGTTTAAAACTAAGGGAATTTTGTACAAGATAAAACAGTCATATACTAGAGATTAATCAAGAAGAGACCCTACAGTACAGATACTCAATGGTCCTACATATCCAGTTGCCATTGATATTTTAACATTTTTGAGATTTTGGGTCAGACAATGAGCTAGTATCAATTCACAGATTCCTTAATGCACCTGTACCTTGTTGCAGAAGCTCACAACCTTAATCTCACTGCAATCACGCCTAAGTCCTGTTTAAGTTATAGAGACAAACCAATGTTCAACAAGAGTATCTGATGAATGTGACAATCACTGCTGAGATTGTATTCTATATAAGGATGACATATTTTGTATCTTCTGAGCATATATATATACAGATATATTTATTTATTCAGCATGTATGCTTGGAGAATATGTTAAGAATGTTTAAAAAAAAAAATACTTCCAGTCTACTGCCACAGATCTCTCCCCACTCATAGTTCTCTGGCTATGGAACAACTGCATCAGGAATGTTCACAGACTATGATACAGCATGATCAAGGGAGATAATTTTTACATAACCATTAAACAAGTCACCTGACACAGCATTACTCTGCCAGTTTAGAAAACAGTGATGGCAAAATTGAAAAAGTTGCCTCCTTATCATATTTGCGATAATAAAAAGGCACAGCAGGCTACTGGGAAATGCATTTGACACTACAGTCACTAAGAATTCTGATTAATTCTCTTGAAAAGTGAAGCACAGCTATGCTGTGAGAAACAAATGTCCCACATGGCTCACATAGTGCAGACAGTTAAACGTATCTTGACACGTTTCTGCAAATCTAGACCAGTATGACTAGAGTTACAGGCAGCACTCAAAGCTTTCATCCTATTTAAAATGTCTTCGCATGGCAAAAACCTCTTGGGGAAAACAGGACAGAGTGCAGAAACCTAGCTGAGTCTAGCTGATGCTTCCATAATGGGTCTTGAGTCTCTAACAATTAGTGCAACATCTATGTTTCCCATACCAAAAAGCCTTACAGTGGAGATGCTATTCACTATGAGAAATGAGGCACATGTCTGAAGACTCTACTCTTCCTACCCTCCTAGCTGACTGCACTCCTAAGATAATTTTTCAAAAGAGAGGAAAAAAAGGATGTCCTTACATGAAAGGACAGCGAGATCCACTGAGCAACTACGCTGTGGGAGAAAAGGGCTCATTCAAACCTGCAATAATTGCATGGAGTTGTCATAAAACTCCCTGTCACTGAGAAATAGGTGCCAGGACAGATGGAAAGAGAAAGCAAAGCTAAAAATGAATTATTTCTTCAATACTCATCAGAATTTTCTATGGACTGGTATATAGCACGCTAAATGCTGAACAGAGTAAGTTCCTAAGAGGGGACAGTAACACGGCACTATCCTGGGGTATACGAGGCTTAGCAAGACCAGTGCAGCAAAGAAAACTTCTCGATAAGAGTTTCAAACACATTTGTTTCTACGTTTTTCCCAAGTCAAATTCTATCAAATCGGCCAGTAATTTTGAGGAAAAAATACCTGATCAATTCTAAGGCACATCTATTTTCATCTAATGATAATCAAATGAAACAGAACAGACTCATTCCATAAACTTCCCAGAGTGTGGGCGTTTAACAAATCCACACACATACATATATATATATATGATTTCCTGTGTTCTTTTCTGAGGGAGCATGGTGTATTTCATGTATAACTACCAAGTTTTTACTCACTAATCTACTTAATCGTCAGCTGGATATGTCAAGTACAAATATTTATCACCTGATAACTGTTTTGATCACCACAAAGCATGCTCTTGACAATGAGATAAAGGCAAAATGAGTCAGTGTCAACAACCAGATTACATACTCATTTGTTTCAAAAAATCCTACAGGTAGAAGCTGCATTTCCCAAGTTCAGGGGAAAGAGAAGACAGAAGACAGACAGAAAGAGAAGACAGAAGACAGAAAGAAAGAGAAGACAGAAGACAAGTGTGAACTTCGGTTCTTCATAACAGGAGAAAGACTCATATTTCATTTGCGCTGACTGTAAAGCAGAAGATGAAGGTGCACAGCAGAAGATGAGGGGCACCCTTATATTTGAAAAACTAAAATAAAATAAAATACAAGAATGAAGCTTCTAGATATAGCCAAATCCTATGACAGATGACTGCTCAATGACTACTACTTAAGTCAGACTTGCCAACTAATTTAATCACAGCAATTATCCACTCATTATTCTAGTTAGACTGCTTGACCTTATTTGCCTGATCCAAAAACTGATTACAATTCCTGGGATTATCAAGTCTGCTGCAGTCCGTGCTCCCTCCCCCATTCCAGAGAGACTAGACTACCTAAACACAGGCTCGTATTCTCAGAAAAGCCAAGGTCTTAAGGTAAGATGTCAGAATTTATAGACATGACTAATTCTCTAAACCCCTACTGACCTCGTATTAGGTGCCAAGCCTCTTGGTGCCATTGAACACAGACAAGGGATTGCCATAATGCTCACATTCAGGAAGTGACCCTGAATTTTGTGCCATTGATCCTTGCTACCTAAATATAACAGAGTAATTCTATCTTAGTCCAGTTTAACCAGCCATAGTTCACTTTTAAATAATTGTAAAAGCAAAAACTCACCCTTTTTTTTAATTTTCTCTTTCTTCTTTCTAAAAGGGTGGAAATGTAGATAAAATTATTTAAAGTCCTTGTGGCACATTTAAAGACCATATACTTCAGGAAAAAAGTAAGATTTTAATGGAGCTGAAGAAACCAATAATACTGAGGGGTTTTTTTTAAGATTGTTTTACCTGATGATCAAATTTTAACAAAATTGAGGATAAAATTGTACAAATTCTTAAAGACACCTATTTTTGTAGCTCTGGAGTTGTTTGACTCAGTTTTACTTACCTGTCATTCTCAGGAGAGTCTTCCTGGGGAATTTGTAGAGGTAGAAAGGATAATTCACATTCCTCTGGCCTAGAAAAGTATTGATATTGACTATCACGTAAACCAGTATTCTGACTGCTAGACAGACTTTTATCCAAGTTAAGATGATTTTAAGGAGATGCCAAACACACAGAATTTATCTCCTCTTTAACTTGTAAGAGGTATATACACCACATCTGAGTTGAATCTGTCTGCAATTAAGAAGTCAGGACAGCTAAACTACTATATCTTTATCACATTAATTACTGCATTTTCCTCAAGAAAATGAGAAATACTAGAAAAATATAACAGCTCATAGCATACTTGAGATCTGCCAGTGTTTTGATAAAAGCAAAATCCTTCCGCTGGTTGGAGGGCATCCAACGGTGTTTTTCAGCCAAAGCTAGAGTCCTTGCACCAAAACCAAACATAGCTGAGAACCCAAACCGCAACAGCTTGCTTGGAGTACTGAAAGTACAGACATCTACTGGTTGAATATGTCCTAAAATTTCAACAATAAAGATCAGAAATAACAAATAACATCTGTATTTCAAACAGAACACATTTCTTTTTCACCTAATTTAGCTGCAGGGAAAAAACTCCAGACTCTTCTCTCTTTAGAAAGTCAGGTTTTACCAATGGAAACCAGAATCAATCTAGATGCAATTAAGACTCTATAAAAGTAGTAATTTCAGAGAACAACCTTCAGATGTTTCAAAATGTTAGAAAAGTTATGGTGACAATTCAGCTACTTCATCAGGCTGCAAAGGGTCTGACTCTTCATTCTATTCAAATTTTCAACAACTAGTATCAAATAAAATGTAATATTGCAACCATCTCACCAAATATTTGTAATGAGTGAACATTGTACTGGAGGAGATATGGGAGCTCTTAAATATAGGTTTTCAATATATTTATGTTTACAGTTACAGAATTTTGACATCTAATTCTGTTCAAGATAGGGTGTATATTTTTTTTTCTGGGTGGTTTCCATTCGATTGAGTGTCTCTGATCAAAAAAAAAAAAAAAAACAAACCAGTTTTAGATTTTGCTTATAAAGGCTTGCGTATTACTGTCTAAGAAATAGAGCAAAGGCTCTTCCACTCCTGATTGCAAAGTCTAGAAAATAGATATTCACGAGGCACTTTTCTTATTATTCTCTTTTTTTATTTGGAAAAAAAAAAGTCCTAAAGAATAATTGCTTTGAAATGAATATTAACATTTCTTGACTAAGCATTTGCTATTTCCTAAGACCTGAAAATAAGGTTTGCACTAGCAACCTAGTTTTTCCTTTTAGCATAATTACATTTTCACATTCAAAAACTTATTTATTGTGTGGACCAAATGGCAAATGATACAGTTTTTTCTACTAATAAAGCTTTCTTTTAGAAACTGTTAGTATTAAAAAGAAATGCACAAGGAGCTAAAAAGGTGAATGATACTTTCTCAGAAATATGATGATACTTTCCTGAAAAGTCCAGTCCTAACCACTTCCTCAAGCTGAAAGTATTGCATATTTTCTGATTGTCTTCAGCAGGTACATTAAGTTAAAATAATCAAATGATTACATAACCAATCATTGAATAGTAACACACAGAGAGTAATAATATTCACACAATCAAGTCTGGAAAAGGTTACTTTTTTCCTTAAAAGAACTTCAATAACATGAATGCCAAAATCAGGTATTATTCCATCACAGACTGTAGTTACCAGAAGATGAGGGCCACAGCCTTTGCTACCGAACCATCCTCAAAGAATCATAACTTTTCTAGTACACTATAACTCAGGATAGAATCATTTGAGTTTAAAATCTTCCAATCTAGTTTACAGTGGTAAAGCCTAATGCTATGCTTTTAGTAAACAACTGGCTATGGCAAACTTCTTAATGATGCTTCATCATTTAAAATCTGATAATGTATGTAAAAATACTTACCCATTACAATATGCAATGTTGCAGTCACTGCATGCTTAATACCGTAGAGAGTATGGGCCAAAGTATTAGTAGTACCTGTGAAAGCAAACACAAACTATTGTCAAAATAAGTCAGATAAGTATAGCAAGAAAAAATATATACAACGTTTTTTTGAATTAAGAAACTGAGACCTTTACTGCATTTTCAGAAAAAAAAAAAAAAGTAAGCCTCCCCACAAATTACTTAGTCTTGATAACAGCAGAAATGCTGAACAGTACAAATGAAAACGGTTAAAACTTCCAAAGATCTGTAAAATCCCTTCTGCAAATCCCTTCATAAGTGCCGTAAAAACAAAGGGGGAGGGGAGGGCAACACCTTTGCAAAAGTTGTCTTTTTCTTTTCTTTTTTTTTTTTTAACCATCTCCTTAAAAATCACTTCTTCCATACTTAAGTGCTGTACTAAGGAACTGTACCAGAATGCCAGAATGCAGATTATCTAATAATATATATTTGGGAAACATTTTTAAGTTGGAAAAATAATATAATACCCAGCCAGTGCAAAACTCTACGTTTCCCAGACAAAATTCTACTGGATCTAGTTTAAGGTACTTGCTGTGCCTCTTGCAGGCTACATTTTAGGTTCTTAGAAGAAATAGTGAATAAAATTAATTACTGCATGTCAGCTTTACATATGACAACATATTAATGACTGAAAAACAGAGAGAACATACTTTGATGTGTGTCTGACAAATTGTTGACTTGCATTCCGTGCATTAAAATTGAACTATCTAACTTGTCTTTGTCATTGCCTGGACACTGGCAGACCGGTGGTACTACTAGGCACTGGACAGAAGAGATTAATATATTTTGAAACAAGGGAATGAGTAGTAAATCAGCTGGTAAATAAAAAAAAAAAGTAGTCATGAACTAGCAACATCTGCAGAGAGTTGGAACAGAGAGTGGAAAACTAGCTATCAGTTCGTAAAGGAAAGCAGCATGGTTCTGGAGGCCCATGTTTGGTGGTGATTGGTATGTCAAGTCACTTCACCTGTGTGAGAAACATGAATATACATGTAAATTTTGCTTTTATGCTGTAATATATAGGATATAAAATAGTGTATATCAGATGACTTTTAAGCTGATTTATTTTTAAAATCCTAAACAAGGAACAGTTGCATTTGTCCTAAATGAGTATAGTTTTAACTGAATTTCAAGTTGATTTTTCTCATTGATCACATCTCTGGCGTTTCTTAGACAAGCAGCAGAGCCATAGGGTTCACTTCTGCCAGAAATAAAGAACCAGGTCCTGCCACCAAGCAGGTAGAATATTAAGCTTCTTCGTATAACTGATTAAGGGATAAATAATTCAATAACAGATTAATTAAAATAACAAAAATGACAAAAGAACAATTTAGACACTAACATTGCATAAAGAATGAGTTCACTTAGATTTTCAAGTCATTTTCTTGTTGCTAGAATTATTTAATGTTACAGCAGCAATAGACAATTCTGGATGCTAAATTTGCCTTTAGTTTTATGTAAACATTTAAACTTCTCTTTCAAAAGCGGGGGAGAGAAGAGAGGAAAGGGCAAGACTATTACATTTCAAACAAAAAGGCACTCAATATTGAAATAAGCACTTTAAAAGCATCATGTACCAGACTGAAAAATTATGTTCATCCCAAAAACGCTGCAATCTTTGACGTCCTATTAGTGGTAGACAAAAAATACCAAAATACCAAATTTAGAAAGACTGATGTACGTAATTACAAAGCTCTAATGGCATCTTCTCATTCTTATTCAGGAGTATATGCTTCAAATTTTTTTTCAGTAATTTCTGAGAATAAGAATTTGTAAAACAATTGGGAATTGCATCTCGGTATCTCACAGAGCACCTGTTACATCCTTACAACACCTTAGTCTCTGAAAGTAATTGAGACTATTCAGAACCTCATGGAAAGACTTCATAATGTCAAAGAGAAGCTCTGAGTAAGGCTCTCAGGGTCCCTACTATGTGAAGGAAATAAGTGAGATAAGAGATACAAAACATTCATTGAAGTTTACGTCTCCAGTGGTACATGGAAGAAATCATATTATGTACAGTTTTAGTCTTTGAACAATTCAAAAAGAAATGTAATTTCATTTACAAATTTCTCAGAATTTTATAGGTCACTATACTATTAATTTCTTTCTCCTTTTCCTAAAAATAATGTTTAAATAAATCCAGAAATGTGGGATTATGAAGCACTTTGAAAGAATAATAAACTGACTACTTCAAAAGCTAAATGCAAGTCTTTGCTTTTTTCTCCCAAAGGACAAACTAACAGGAACTCCAGTTTATGAATATTACAATTTCAATCATTTATATCCAATAAATAATATCCAACAACTCAACTAAAAGTAATTTGAACTTTTTCTCCAGTATCCATAAAAAAATCAAAGGCAAAATTGTAGCTCTAGATACCATGTACAACGCAAAATAGTGAGTTTTTCAATTCATCTCTGTCACCAGCATATTTTTAAACATAAACAAAGAAGATTTTATTATTACAAAAATGTAACTCTGTTCAAAATATTAACCCATTTTCCTGACAGTACAAACAACTTCCTACAACCTCCTTCCTATGAAATGCGCAAAAGCATCACAGTAAGGACAAAGTATCTGCAGGTCATGTAAAGCATGACTGATGAAGGTACCAAACAAACTGTAGAGAAAAAAATTGTCCTTGGAAGTGCAAGCACTTCTGCAGTACAATTAACTTAATTAACCAGACAACATGAATATTCATAAGGCTGTTAATGTCTCCCCCATCCAAACAGATAAATGTGATGTAATGACTTCCTAGTCAAGCATAGCTAAAATTCTGATGAAAACTGCACCAACATTTTGGTTCTTTGCCTAAATATCACAGAAATTAACAGTTCCCCAGTAATATTTTATTTTATGAATTAATTGGGAATCATGAATTTATTTAAATGAACCATTTTAGGACCAAAAGGTTCACAGTCATCAGATATATATTGTCTCTTGTTCTGTAACAACTGGGTAGCTTTTTTAATGTCCTTCCAGTTCCCCCTCCCCTTTCTCCCTTTCCCGCTCCGTACAGTTTCTTAGCAGTAGTTCCCATAGCAACAAACACTCTTGCTAATGGCCAGCAGTATGATCGCAGGCTTCCCCACATCTCGTCCATTTGATTTGGACCAGAATAAGGCAGCTCAGTAGAGTATTTTAGTAAAAACACACCCCCCTCTGGACCTTTCTCTTCAGGAGGTAAACTGTTTCAAGATCAGCTCCTTCCCATCAAGTTGGCTGAAACTTCGAAATGTTGATATGTATGATACACAAGTACCATACTTATCTGTTTCCTAACTGACTACTTTTTGGAATATCAATAATACGGAAATAAAATAAACTACAGATTATTTTTAAGAACGTATTAAGGAGTTTCTCACACTATCATTCCATAAATTATTCTCACCCTCTTTTAATAAAGTCCATGGCATTATCTGTGACAAGCATTCTTTTGGGTTTACAAATCCTTTTTGATAATGATGTATTTGTCTTAAAATGAAGAGAGTAAGCATTAATGATGAGGCACAGTGATGTAAGCGCACCCAAAAAGCAAGGAGTTAAGTGCTGGAGAGATTCCATCTCAACACCATCAAGATAGTCACAGCAACTGAACTGGTAAGTGATGGTCCAACTGCTGTACTAAAATTCATTTGCGTCATGTCTTTGAGATTACTGTACCTTTTACCAATATATTTCCAAGGTTTTTTTAAAATTAAAAAAGCCACTGTAATCTTGCATTTTTACAAGCAACTAGTCCCTGTCTTAATGCTGCTTTCAGAAGTGCAGAGCAAGTCAGAGCACTTAAAGCCTGGTTGCTCAGTTTGGAAGCGACTTGCTCCTTGTTTTGTAGAAAAGTGAAAACAACAATCTGCTGTTCACCTGGCTGCAGGGATTTTTTTCCTTACTAGTTAAAAACGTCTGAGAAACTACATCAAGTAGTCACATCAACATCCGCACCAAAAGTAGTGTCCATGCAAAAATACTTCTCCTCTTTTAAAGATAAGTGATTCACATACCAGTCCAGAATCAACCCTGCCTGTAC